GGCAAATAAGAAGACAGGAGTACACAAGAGCCTGTTTCTGAATTGACCTTCCTACTATATCCATAGTAGTGGTGGACCATATACAAAGCCTTGTGCATACTAAGCAGGTACTTACCAACCAGCCCTTGGATTGTTTGAGACAGGATCCCATAGCATGGCTCAGACTGATCTTCAATTCATTATGTAGCCCATGCTGTTCTCAAATTTAAGATCTTTCGGCCTTTAAATTGCTAGAATTACAGACATATACTATTGTGGTTGGCTTTAAGTGGTCTTTTATTGTATAATTAGGGACCTTAATTGCAATGCTGTATGTTAGTAGATCTACTATTGGTAGAAACTGAGAAAAGAAAACACCTTGAATAACAAATACACTACCCAAGGAATCCTGTTAAGTTAGGGAAAAGAATGAACGTAGTAGTCAAGTCAGCTTTAAAACAGTCACTGATGTGGGTCTGAAAACATTGATCAGCAGTTACTTGCTGCTCTTCCAGAGGACCTGCATCTGCACCCCAGCTCCACATAAAGAGCTCTAGCTTCAGCTCCAAGGGGTCCAACAGGCCTCTTCTGGCCTTCACAGGTAGACACACACATATACAAAAACAAAAATTAATATTTAAAACATCATTTATGACTAAAAACAAAGTATAGGAAGGGAGAGTGGGGACATACCCCCAAGATGAATGGAGCTCAAGAAACAACTCTGCGGTTTAGAGAGCTTGCTGCTCTTGGAGAGTACCTGAGTTCGGTTTCCAGCACCCACAGTGGGTGACGCACAGCTGACTGTTACTCTAGTTCCAGGGGATTTGAAACTCCTGACCTCCGAGGGCACCTACCCATGTGTACATACAAACATATACATATAACTTACAATAAATTTTAAAAAGAGAACTAATCTTGTGTGACTACAGTGATTTCAATGACTAATGAAATAACTAATAAGAAGTGGCTAATCAAAAACAGAATTGTCATTATATTAACTTAAGTACAAATTATTATAATGAACGGAGTGACATATTTGGGATGCAGACTAAATGTTGACAGCACGGTTCAAAAGAATAAAACACATATATCTAAAGAAAAGGAATCACGACAGCAGATGTTCATGCGACACCAGGAAGGCTTCTTTTTTTTGTTTTGTTTTCCAAGACAGGGTTTCTCTGTAGCTCTGGAGCCTGTTCTAGAACTAGCTCTTGTAGACCAGGCTGAACTCAAACTCACAGAGATCCGTCTGCCTCTGCCTCCTGAGTGCTGGGATTAAAGGCGTGCGCCACCATCGCCCAGCCTGACACCGTGAAGATTGTAGACAATATTAAAAAACCCAACTAAGCCTGACTATGAGAGTGATCTTTAAACATCTCAATTATGGGGCTAGGGGGATGTACAGTACTTGCTGTTCAAACATGAAGGACCCGAGTTTGATTCTTGGCACCTACATAAAAAGTTGGGCATGGTAGGATGTACTTGTAATCCCAGGGCTGGAGAGAAGGAGATGGGAGGATTCATGCAACTCATTGGCCATCAGTCTAGCTGAATGATGACTTACAAGCCCCAGTAAGTCTCAAAACTAAATTAGATTCTCCTGCTTCTCAACTATTCTGTCCAACACTATTCTCTTGCTTCTATTGGTATTGGTCCACATGTCCACTGATACCTATACAAAGTAGTGACTTGTGAAAAGATGTACATGTACATGTGTACACACACACCTTTCAACTGAGGACTGCAGATGAGCTTAAATGGTAGAGTGCCTAGCATGCACAGGGTCTGGCTTGATTCCCAGCACTACATGATCAAGGTGTGGTGGTACTGACAATAACCTCAGCATTTAGGAGGTGTGAAGTGGGACCAGAGGCTGGAGGTCATCTTCCACTATGTAGTTCAAGGCTAGTTTTAGAAACAGTGCCCTATATAAAAGACAAAAATTTCTCAAATGTAATTCAATACAATAGGTTAAGAGTGGACTGAATTATAAATACCATTCTTTACAAGTGTTTGGAGTGGTTTCATTTCTCAATGATGTTTCAGAGGAACATTCAAATAGAAACATAAATTAGTGAGCATTAAGTAGCTTTCCTATTCAGTTACAACCAAATAAAGGTACAAGTAGTATGATAACAAACTCCACATCTCCTCTGACATTCAAAACTATTTACCTGAAGCTGAGTGCTAGCTCATCATACCTTCACTGGGAAGCTAAGGCAGAAGGATCATCACAAGATTGAGGCTAGCCTGGGTTACACACCAAAACTACCTACTTGCCTTATACTGATTTACTAGTTACCTCATTCTAAAATGTTCAAACCCCAAAGGGAAACCACATTTGCAGTTTCTGAGCCCTGTCTGTGGTTACGCTTTGAAATCAAAGAGCAGTTTATGGTTATAATAGTTAAGCTTGAATTCAATAGATTCAGTAGTGAACTAAACTCAGGGTTAAGTGATTACCACTGTTCAAATATTCCTTCTGTAAACTACCAAGGACAGCCTTCTGCGGCCATTCTCGCTGTGCTCATTCTCTTGTATGCACTCAGGAAAGGCTCCCTCAGCCTAAGTGAGAAGACCAGACAGAGACTAAAAGTTGTCCATCCCTGTTTCGACATTTTAAGTAAATTGGTACATAGATGCCAAATTGTCATTCCTTCAACTTTCTCAAAGGAGAAAAGAAGTATCTGCCTGTGATTTATGTGGTCATTCATGACAGCGGCTTTCAAAGTAATACATGGCTAAGTAAAGACTGAGGACTGCGGCTGCAGTCTCTCAAACCAACAACGGTTTGCTGCCTGTGCTCTACTAACTGTGGTCACCTGCAATCCATCTGACTACAGAAATTCCTGCTGGCTGTACAGTCTAAACCATTCCCGTGGCTATATGAGGTTAGGATTAAGAAATAAAGCAGCAAAGAGACTGACAGGCAGAGTCAGTTGCTAACAGCTACAGTGTCAAAACTACTCAAACAACTAAAGAAACAGCACTTGAGCTTTAAAATTGGAGAAAACTTCTGATAAGGTTCAGACTCCTTTTTTCTCTGGTTTAACAAAATATGTGAGTTTGACAAAACGCTACTGAGAAACTGAAACTAGAAAGAGAAGCTAAGCCTTTATTTAGACTGGCTTTAATTTTACTTTTATTAGGCTACTTGTAATAGGACTTAATACTACAGGAAGTTCAGGACTGAACTTTAGTTCTTAGTTCTGTCTCACATCAGCAGGCATGTAATACAGAAAGATGACCAATCTTTTCAAGCCTCTGTTTACTCATCTGTAAAATGGACAAGGGACAATAAATTCTATCTTTAGCAGAGGACCATTTTAAAAGTTAGGACACATAGAAAAACATGAATGCTGTTATGAACTATATTCAAAATAACCTGATATTATTAACATGTATATCAATGTTTCATAAGCTAAGATTAAAAGTAAAATGTGATATTAAAAATAAAGCATGTTAGCATTAATCTAGTAGACAGAAATCTAGTATGTCAAAAGCAAATAAGATTTGCTACTTTAAAATGATTGTTGTTATTGTTTTAAATAATGTTCAGCCAGGAAGGGTGACTTTTGACTATAACCCCAGCATTGGGAAGCCTGAAGTTTCAGGCCACTCTCAACTACACAGTGAGATCCTCACACCATCAACCACAAGTAAAATAAATAAAATCTTGTGGTGGTTTGAAAGAAAACGTCTCCCACAGGGAGTAGTACTATCAGGAGGTGTGCATGCTCAAACTATGCCCAGTGTGGCACAGAGTCACTTCCTGTTAGTTCCTTCTCCAGCATCATGTCTGCCTGCATACCGCTATGTTTCCCACCGTGATGATAATGGACTAACTGAAACTGTAAGGCAGCTCCAATTAATGTTTTCCTTTATAAGAGTTGCCTTGGTCACAGGGTCTGTTTGTAGCAAAAGAAACTCTAAGACAGATCTACGTTTGATTTCTTTAAGGTCTTAATACTACAGAGACCTGGCGTTCTTAGAAGAAGGGGTAATACCAGAACAATCAGAAAAGCACGGTGGAGATGGCAGAAGGGAAGAAAGGAGGGAAGCACTTGTCTGAAGAATATTTAGAGATGAACAAATGAAGAGGAGTATTAACACTGGCTTATGTCCCCATCTCACGGCCTTTACAATCTACTGTCCCAGAGCAAAACTAACTAGACTTTGTCAGCAACCTAGAAAAGCAGCAATAATGAAAGGGGTAGGTAGTGATACCTATATGCCCTTTTCTACTGGACATGTTACTTTCTTATTAGTTCACTTAAATATCTATTCACGATCTTAGGGTTTAGGGTGAAATCTACACTAACTTTCCTAAGTAATCTTTTTTGTTATTTTACTTTGGGAGACAGTCCCGGCTAGCCTGAAGCTCTCTATAGGCCAGGGTGGCCTCACACAGGTCTGCACCTCTTCTGACCAGAGTGAAAGTAATTTAAGGAAAAATGCCCAGGAGACAGCTGTGCTGCTGTCCTTCCTGGTTCACCGTAAATGTTGTCTAATGCCCGTGACTTAGTTGTCTACGTCAGGCAATAGCTCATGGTTTGACTGGGATCTTTACTGCCTGAGCTCATAAAACAATAACACAATAAGATGTACAGAAATCTGAAAAAATTAATCTTAGAAACAGAAGACTTCAGAGTTTCAGCGGTGACAGGTTACTCTGATTTGGAGGAAAAACAGGTACTACCTGATTTCTGCTTCATTGTCAAGTTAGTTTATCATTTATATTGATGAGTTATCATCACATTACTACCTGCCAGGGTACTACAAAGAGAACGCTTCTGATAAAATATGTCGAGGGAAAAAAATTACAATTTTGGTTTTTCTAACTTCCTATAAATACATCTTCCTCAAAATAAAGTTGAAGGTCCGCCATGTAAAATTTAATTAAATCCTTTGATACATCTTGAGATGAGTTATAGTCAAATATTTAAATATTTGTTTTTTTCCTGGGCTAAAGATTCATTTGGGCCCCCCCCCCAAGGGGCGGGGGGGCGCGGATTTACCTTTATCCTTATCCAATGGCTCCTGGGAAAGAATAGTGGACAGAACCGCATTTTTCCACACACCAGACTCCTGAGCTAGAGTTGCTAAAAAATGTAGCTCGCAGCTGCCGCTCTCCATCAGCGTCTCGTGAGCTACCTACAAATGTTAAATAAACACACCATTTAGATGCCTTAAAGTTTAACCAAATAAGCAAAACTCATTCAACTGCATCCATATTACATAGGTAAGTAATCTCACCTGCACCAATGTCTGAAATTGTTCCCACTGTTTATCTGATAACTCAACAGGTAGACATAGTAAAAGTTCAACACAGCTTCTAAAAAGGAAAAGGATACAAATGATTATTGAAAATAAAAGTAAAACAAAACCAATAATTCTTTTGTCAATAGTCTTCATCAACTATTTTAAATAAAATCTACTTTAAATGAAAAAACCATCAAGCCTGAGAAAATAAAATCTAAGAAAAAAATTAATTATGGTCTTCGATTAATGTTTCAAAGTTCTACTCACAATGCCAAGCGTTCCAGAACCAAGGCTACACTTTCACATTCTGAGGTAAGGTATGGTCGAGCTTTCACATAACTTTGGATGGCCACTGTGTATACCTCCAGTAAAGGTAAGGGGTCTTCGGAAGTTTTCCACTTCTCTGCATATTCAAGGAGTGTCTGTTTTGGAAGGAAAAATAAAACATATTCAAATGTAAATAAAATTGCACATTGACTAATCAACTTTTTCCCTTTTCCAACTATTTTAAACAAACATATTCCCAACAATTTTGAAGAACAAAAAAAAAGCAGTTTGTGCTGGGCAGAAGTCACGCAGCCTTTAATCCCAGCACTCGGGAGGCAGAGGCAGGCGGATCTCTGAGATCTCGAGGTCAGCCTGGTCTACAAAGAAAGTTCTAGGACAGTCAGAGCTATTACACAAAGAAACCCTGTTTCAAAAACCAAAGTAAATAAACTTTAAAAGAAAAAAAACAGTTTGTGTTAAATATTAAAGCTGTTTCCAAGAGCAAGAAGATGAAGAGTGGCTTCCTCAGCAGCCGCAGCAGCCTTCAGCAGAGCCGCCTGAGCACTGAGCAGCACAGAACCAAGTTCACCAGGCCATAGCAACCCCCAGGCCTAGCTCCTGGCCAGAAACTCCTACACTGGCTTTTCTTGGCAAGTCCCCTCGAGAACCATGCCCTACAAAGCCACCTCCGAGAGCAGCTCCTGACACTCAGGTCCTGAAGCAGTCAAGTCTGAAACAAGCTAGAACATCACATCAAAAACAACCAATGAAGGAAATCAACTTGCCAAACTCCCATCACAAAACCAACAAAAAAAGACCAATAGCATTATCCACCCCCGGACACACATACTAGCCCTGTAGTGTTCTCCAATGAGAGCTACTGAGATGAACTGCAGGACAGAATGGAAGTGAGCAATCACAAACCATACCTTTATCATACTTCAAGGTATTTAAACACACACAGCTCAAGGAGCTTAAAAAGAGTTATCAATAAGTTGTGTGATGCCCAAAAAAACACAGACATATAAACTGAATGGAACAAAGAAAACAGGATTCAAAAAGTGAATCAGTAAAATGACTAAGGCTAGTGGGAGCTGAAAATAAGATGGACTTGCCCTGGTTTGTTTGTCAGTTTGACACAAGCTAGAGTATGTGACAAGAGGAAACCGAAACTAAGAAACTGTTCCTGTGGGGCATCTTCTTGATTAATGATTGATATGGGAGGGCCTAGTCAATCACACATGGTGCGCACCTGGCACGTGGTCCTGAGTGTATAAGAAAGCAGTCTGAGCAAGCATGGGGAACCAGTCAGTAGGCAGCACTCCTCCATGGCTTTGCTTAAGCTCCTGCCTTGAGTTCCCTAGATGATGGAGCATACTGCTTGGATCATGGTATTTATCACGGCAACAGCCAACCTAACTAAGACAAATATTGATACCAGGTTTGTGGAACACTGCTTGTGACACACACCTGACCGTGTTTTGGGGAGGACTGTGGAAGGACTTTTCAAGTACTCAGAGCTTAAGAAGCTATTGTGGGAATTTGAAAAATAATAAAAAGCCGTGAATATGATTCAAAGCCTGGCTCATAAAGTTTCAGAGGGACATTCTGTGCATCCCTTAAAGGCCATCAGGGTCCTTCAATATTCTGAATCAAGAATTTGTGGTTCTGGTCAGCTGGGACTGAAGAATCAGCCATGATTAAGAACAGACCGGCAGCGTGGATAGTGTTTCCTGAGGATCGGCACTTAGAAGCTGTGGTCCAGAGACAGCCAAGCCCGTATGTCATGCTGGCAGCCAAACCTGGTAATGGCTCAGTTTCCCAGGTGGTACTGGTTTGAAGGAATGAAGGAGTCATGTCATAGTTGAAGGATAAAAACAAAAAAAACTTTCTATGATATAAGCAGACAAGAAAAATTTGTGACTAATAAATCAGTCCTACAAAGAATAATGTAAGCAATACTTAATTAATACTGAAGAGAGGAATAAACACAGCCAAGAGACTACAGAAAGAAAACAAAGGAAGCTGTAATGACTAAAACAAAAACTATTATGACAATATAAACAGCACACACACACCTACTGACAATAATTTTGAATATTAATGGTCTCAATTCCCCAATCAAAAAACACAAGTTAGAATGAATAGATTAAGAAACAAAAGCCAAGCTGGCTAAGACCTTTTATCTTAACCAGCACTGGGAAGGGAGAAGCAGGAGGATTGGTTGAGGCCACAATGCTCTACTTAGTGAGGACCATAGAGACACTGTGTCAAAGAAAACAAAATCTTTCTGCTGTTTACAGGAAACTTTAAAGATAGGCACCACTGTAAAGAGAAATGATAGGCAGACACATTCCAAGCAAATGGGACCAGGAAGAGAGCAGCTGTCATCCTAATTTCTAACAAAACAAGCTTCAAACCAAAACTAATCAGAAGAGATAAAGAACATTTCATTCTAATCAACGGAACAATTAATCAAGAAGACATTACAATACTTAACCCACATGTGCCAAAGTCTGACATACCCAATTTCATAAAATGATTACTACTGCAATTAAAGACAATGGGCAAACATCATGTGATTATTTCAGCAGATGCAAAAAAGGCCTCTGACAAAAAACAACATGCCTTCAATAATTAAAGTCCCAGAGAAGTATTTTGTGCCTGCTTTTGAGCCACGCTGCAGTTGCCTCTGTTATGTGCCTGCAGCCTTGGGTAACGGGCCAATCAAGTCAGTGTTCAGTGATGGGTGACCAGCACCTCCACATGCTACAAGGAGAGTGGTCCCAGCTGGAAGGCACCAACAGTACAATGAGGCAAGGATGTGCCCCAGGCTGGGCTCACGAACCTAGAGGCCCACACCATGGATTCAGTGAGCTCAGGCCCTTCTGGGAGATCATCAGGCTTGGTAACTTCTCAGGTTAGAGCAGGGCTGGGAACAAGCCACTACACAGAAGTTACAGAGTTGTTTGAGTGGGTGTTGAACATTGTGAGGAAGCCGAGAGATGTGGTTGCCTGCAGGGCGTTCAGCTGATCTCCCTGAGGGAAGATTTGGGTCTGGGAGTCTCATCAGCAAGAACTGAGAAGACAGAATTATGAAACCAGTGTAGTACCTTCCCCAAGCACGCTAGACACAGTGGCTCAGCCCTACACCCCCTTTCAGTCCGTCAACTTGCTGAAAACACAGATGAGACCTGATGCTTTGAAAATGACGTGTGTGACTTATCACATTTGCTTCAAAGTCTACAGTTGATCATACCCACTTACAGTGACCAATCCCTATTTGCTACCACAAGTAAGGTAATCACTTGCCTACAAATACAGTGCCCTCTTCCCGCCTGCAGGTCTTCATGTCTGACTTTGTGTCCTTGACGAGTTGGGCAGCCAGGAGTACCTCTACCCTGACAGCATCTGAACTCAGCCAGAAGATGTCTGATGGCAAGAACACGATAACCATCTGTGACTCCCACTGCCCACTACTGCCATGGGCTCCAACTGATAACAGCTGCCACGTTCAGGTGCTATCTGTCCATGAAGGAGGTGCAAGATGCTTTCCATCCAAAGAACAATAGTGACCTAGCGCAGTGGGTCCCCAACAATGTGAAAACAGTTATCTGGGACAGAACACCTTAGGGAATAAAATGTTCATCACCTTCAACAGCAACTGCACCACCATTCAGGAACTGTTCTGATGGATCTTAGAGCAGTTCACAGCCATGTTCCAGCACAAGGGCTTCATGAACTCGTGGATGAAGGCCCATCTGAGATGGAGTTCTCCGAGGCTGAGAGCGGTATGACCGCCCTGGTGTCATAACACAAGCAGTATCAGGATAGTACAGGCTGAAAAGGAGGAAGTAGCCCAGAGCTGTTTCAGCAGCTAACGCACGGGAGCAGTATGAACTATTTATCCATTCACAACTTGTCTGCTAGTCATGACCAAGGTGCGTTTGTTGCTCTATCCTAACATCACTTACGCACATAGTACTAGCAAAGCAATTTCAAAGTGTGAGGAAATGTACCAGAAAAGGGAAAACTGGAGGAAATCTTCAGCACATAAAAAATAAAGGCCTTATATGATAAATCCACAGCCCATATCACCATAAAGAAAGAAAAACTAAGGCTGGGCAGTGGTGGTGCACACTTTTAATTCCAGAACTTGGGAGGCGAGGCAGCTAGATCTCTTGAGTTTGAGGCCAGCCTGGATACAGAGAGTTCCAGCTGGGATTACACAGAAAAACCTTATCTAAAAGAAAAAAGGAGAGGGGAGGGGAGGGGAGAGGAGGGGAGAGGAGAGGAGGAAGAAATTTGATAAAGATTAAAAAGAACAGCCCAGCATCCACACACCTTTTTAATGCAAGGCTCAGAGCTCGAGCTGGAGCAATAGCAGGAGAAGAAACCGATGGGAAGTCAAATTATCCCTATTTCCAGATGATCGGACATTCATTATACATGAGATCCTAAAAATTGTACCAGAAAACTTCTAGAAATGTTAAACATTTTCAGCAAATTTGTAGAAAACAAAATCAACTTATAAAAGCTTTTCTATCCACCAACAGCAAACACATTAACAAGAGAATTAACAAGAGAATCATGGGCTCCCATTCATAATAGCCTAAACGTGGTGGGGGTAAATACAACGAAGGATGTGAGAGACCTCTACAACAAAAAATTACGTCTCTAAGGAGGTTTATGACAAAAGATGGAAAAGCAGCCCATGCTCATAGAGTGATAGACTATTGTGCAAACGACCACTCTACCAAAGACATTTTACATACTGACTGCAATTCCAATCACAATTCCCATGACATTTTTTTCCACAGAAATGAGAGGTATTCCTAAAATTCATAAGCAACAACAGGATGGCCAAAGTACTACTGAGCAAAAAAGTACAATGTGGCAGAAATTCATACCAACCTGGCATTAGAGGGTTAGCAAGTAACATTCACTAGCCATGAACTCTCACTGGGCTACACCTGGCCCAGCTCTGGAGTTTTCACTCAGCCCCTAACCTAGCCTTTGTGTTACAGATACCTTTTGTTGCCCTATGTGAATCTTGTCTGACAGTCTTCCATGGATACAAAACCTACGTAAAACCTAGTTTAGAGAAAACCCAGAAAACTGTGGGACCTCATTAATCAGGTATTGCACAAGGCATTGTATTTTCGAAAACTTCGGTTTGTTTTGAGAGATGGCAATCTACTAAAATGTAAATATAGGAAAGAATACGCCAAGAGGCAAAGGGAAACCAGTTCACCGAGCCCGAGCCCCTGCAGCCGCAGAGGCTAAGTTCATTCTCAGGTGTCTCTGAGTCTTCATTTCATAACCCGTGCGAACCCGCATACTCCACATACTCACGCCAGGTTACACGTGACGGTACAATGCTGGAGAAACTGCAATTCCAGATTCAAGACATATTACAAAGCAATAGCAATAAAAACTGCATGGCTCTGGCATAAAACAGGCTTATCAATGGAACCAAAAAGAAGAACCGAATACGAGCACATAGAACTACATTTGCTATTTGATATCTGACAAAGACGCCAACTACGTGCACTGGATTAAAGACAGTCATCACCAACAAATGCTACTTGGAAAATTGGGTGGTCACATGAAGAATGAAATTAGATTCCTCCCTGTCACACAGCTCAACTGTCACACAGAGTCAGCTCCAAAAGGTTTAAAGACTTCAATCTGGTACCTGAAACTCTGAAACAGCACTACAAGTTAGGGTGCAGGAAAAGACTTGCTGAGCAGAACTCCATTTGTCCAGTAACTAAAGTCAACAAAAGACAAATGGGACATTGTTAAATTAAAAGCTAAAGAACAATCAACTAAGTAAAGAGAAAATCTTGGTCAACTATACATCTGAGGATTGATATCCAAAAGAACTTGATTGACTTTTTTAAGTCAAAAGAACTTGAAAAACAGGGTCAAGAAAACAAACGACAAAAATAAGAAGGGGGATGGAGGCACTACAGATCTGAAGAGTTCTCAAAAGAAAGAAAAGTGGCTTAGATTTTTTTTTTAATCTTTTCTAAAAACATGTTCAACATTACTAGCAATTAGTGAAAAGCAAATTAAAACTATATTCAGATTTAATCTTACCCCAGTCAGAATGGCCAAGATCAAGAAAACTGCAAAGAAATGTTGGTGAGGACATATGGTTGGTGGGTCTGGAAACCAGTACAGCCACTATGGAAATCCTTGTCGGAAAAAAAGCTAAAAGTAGATCTATCATACAATCTAGCTATACCGTTCCACAGCAAATGTCCGAATGACTCATATCTTATCCCAAATATACTTGCTTGGCTATGTTCCTTTTTGCTCTATTCACAATAGCCAGAAAATGGAAAACAGCCTACATGTTCTTCATCAGACGAATGAATAAATAAAAATCTAGTACATAAACACAAGAGTATCTACTTAGCTGTGTGGAAAATGAAATTTGCAGGTAAATGGACAGAACTAGAAAGTATACAGAGTTATCCAGATACAAAGGAACAGATGCCATACCTTCTTTGGCATTTGTGGATCCTAGCTCCAAATCTTTACCAATGTGTATATAACCTGGACTAACTGCAGACACCACAAAAGTAGCAAGGGACCAAGGGAGAGGGGTTGAACGAGTTCTAGAGAGGAGGATAGTATAACATGGGTGCTGTATGTAGGGAAATAGAAAAAAATGGGGGCTGGCTATGTAGCACGACTAATAAAAACCCAGAAAGAGATATAGGGTTCAACCTGAAGATCAGAAAAGCAAAAGCAACCAAGCCACTAGAGAGCTCTTACCTCTTTGAAATCTTCAGACTGAAAATGAGCGAGTTCCTGTCTCATCCCACCTTATATTCCTCACTAGTGCTAGTATTAAAGGTGTGCACCACCACTGCCTGCCCTCTATGGCTGACTGGTGTAGCTGCTGGGATTAAAGGTGTGTGCTACCAGTGCCTGACCTGTATGGCTGACTAGTGTGGCTGCTCTGCACTGATCTTCAGGCAAGCTTTATTAAAATACAAATGAAATATCACTACAGGGATATCTGGAGGGGGGTTGAGGGATAACTAACAGTAATGATGTTTGGAAAAGCTATTTTATATTTGTGTGTATGTGTGCGTGTGTGTGAATATGCACGCACACACATGCACACACAGTTTAAATGAAGTTACACCACTTGGAGTGATAATGCTGTCTCCAAGAATCAGAGACTAATAAAAACCCAAGTGCCTCTCTGAGCTGTTGTTCGTCAGGGGTCCAAGAAACTCCCAAAACAATATAGGTTATTACCATTCTAGATTGCCTCCCACAACCTGAAGATAAGACACTATGGCTGAAGATACCATACACCTTGAACACAACACTTGGAGGAAATAAAGTTGAAATTGACCTGGAAGCCTTCTCCCTAAATTCTAATTTCATAAATATTTGAGATGCTATGCCAGCTTGCCAGGAAAGAAAAGAAACAATATTCTTCTTTTTTTTAAATATTTATTTATTTATTATGAATACAATATTGTGTCAGTGTGTATGCCTGCAGGCCAGAAGAGGGCACCAGACCCCATTACAGATGGTTGTGAGCCACCATGTGGTTGCTGGGAATTGAACTCAGGACCTTTGGAAGAGTAGGCAATGCTCTTAACCTCTGAGCCATCTCTCCAGCCCAAGAAACAATATTCCTATCTGATGTGGGATGACCTTCTGTATTCTGTGAATGTTTGAGTGCCATTGGTTAATAAAGAAGTTGATTTGGCCAACAGTCAGGTAGAATAGAGCCAGGTGGGAAATGCAAGTAAACATAAAGAGAAAAAGAAGGTAGAATCAGAAATATGCCAGCAGCCACTGGAGAAACAAGATATGAGGTAACAAGCCATGAGCCTCATGGTAAGATATAGAATAGAAATTGGCTAATTTCAGTTATAAGAGCTAGTTAATAATAAGTCTGAGCTAATAGGCCAAATGGTTTGTAATTTATATTAAGCCTTAGAGTGGTTATTTGGGAAATGGCAGTGGGAGAGAAACCTCCAGTTATACTTACCTAGTTGTAAAGACTATGAATCACAATGACCATCAAGGCAAGATATCCCCATGGGTAGAATAGTGTCACTAATAATTTTGTGTATAATCAACAGCTTCCTAATTAATTAATCTTAATTAAGAACTGCTCAAAAGGAATAAATTCACATTGAGTATTGTAAACCTAGCCAAATACTGTGGCTGGTGAGGTCAAGTACCCTAGATGGGAATCTACTGCCTACTTCCCTAAATCTGTGTGAGTTCTACCTGCATTTTAAAATACTTATATCCTCTCTCACCACACATCAAAGAAGCTAATCCACAACTGGTCAAATGCATCAAACAACCCCTACACCTACAGCTCGAGGAACACTGGAAGATTTCAGCAGCCAGAGAATCAGGGTATCTGCTGTAAGACTCATCTCTATATGACAGGGAAACTACACCCATGAAATCTCAACAATATGACTGCCCAAACAAGACCAGTACAACGACTATAACAGCTGACATGCCAATAAAGATGGGACAAATAGCAAAAGCTCCAACCTTAGACAAAGAGCTGCAGGCATTTAATGGTTGCTGAGAGAAGGAGAATCAGTCTTCTCCTGGGACAAGCCCCCTGACAGATTATCCAATCCCAAAAGGTTATTAGCTGTATTTACATATACATTACATTTAGCTTGTAAATGAACACGCTGTATTTACATATACATGTATGCTCATGTATACACACAAACATACATATAACAATAATTATTCAATAAGAGGAGGTTATAAGTTTGAGGAGGAAAAGGTGGAAATGATGCAGGCAATTTTTTATTTTCATTTACTTTGCATTGAGACTGGAGTTTGCCCTCCCTCCCTTCTTCCATTCCCTCTCCCCTTATTTGCACTTTATTAAACATTTTGACAGCTTTTTTAAATAAAATTTATTTCTAGGACCAAAAGAAAATGGAAAATTGTTTTAATTAAGTTCACTTGCAATTTATTTGATAATAAAATATAACACAGGTTTCATGACCCTCCTTAATGAGTATTCAGATGTTTGACTCAAAAACACTTCACAGATCCAAAGGAAGTTATTACATAATACAATATGGATAAAACTCAAGGATACATTACCTTATAAAGTATTCTGTATATTTTATATTTGTATTAGGCAATTTCAGAAATTCATACATTCATTATTTCTCAGCTAACATGTTAAACATCTGAATTTGAAGAAACTTTCCCTTATAATACAGTTATATCAAATTAACACACGATTGTGACCATGACCATGTCATTTACTTTTGTTTAATGAATAATCTAGGTGACATTTTAGGCCAAAAACTGTCCAACTTACTTTAACGTAAAGCAAATATTTTAGAGTCTATAAATAATCTTACATGTCTGATGTAATTACACATACAAAATAAAAATATTTCAAGGTTGATGATTGAGTTATACATTTACTAAAGCAAAACAGAAGTGTTTAATGTCATATAGCATCTAGCTAAAGTGTAATAATAAAAGTTTACATACTATTGGGCAAAGTACAAATTATGTAATAGGGTTTGGGATCACTTATGAATGTATATTAAACAGAATAGGCTTGCCCTTCTCACAAAAGAGGAAGTTTTCTGGATGCCATCAAGATTGTATATTATAATGCACTCCTAAGTCTACTCAAAGTTAGTAGAATAAATATTTATCTTTTATTCAAAGCCACCACACTCTTAATGCATAATAATTCACATATTATATTCTTTCAAAAACTGAAATGGGGTAAATTCTAAAACAGGGTTAACTACTGTATTATTTCCTTACTTTGGTAAAATCAAATTAGGACTACACTGCCCAGGCTGCCAGATTCCTCACCCCTTCCTTCTCTACAGACAGTAAGTAGGCGGGCTCGCTACCACCCACTGCTCCGGCGGCTACTACTGCCCTAGCTACTGCAGTGCACTGAAAATATTTTCAGAATTGTCAGGTATAAAAGAGGACTCAAGTTCAGCCTGGATACCTGACGAGCCTTCTCCAAGGTCCTATCAGTGGCAATATTCTGAGAGCTTCTGATTATCATGTCTGGTTACGGCAAACCGTTCAGAAGGGTAAAATAAATAGCAGAATAAGAACAATTTATCACAATGCAATCAGAAATGAGGCAATTTCCCCATTTTATTACTTTTTAAAACATTTTTTCCTGGCTGACATAGGCACAGTATCTGAAAATTATTTAAAAAGTAAGTCTTATATGTGATTTCACTTTACTTTCCTACTGACCTTATAATTAATAAGAGAACTTTTAATATAAGTAAATGTAAACTATATACAGTTTCCTATAATTAAAAAAATTATTTTTGTATTTTATTAACATATTATAAATTCTAATGCTCAATATTTTGACATGTATCTGTGTGCAGTGGTTGATACATGTGATTAAAAAACCTTTAGAAATTTAAGAAGCTATTTTGCTTGATTTCATTTAATTAAGTTCTAAAGAAATGCAATTTATAAGCAAAACTGGTATTGGAAAGCATGATAATATGAAAATATTTTATTTATACAGGAAATAAAATAAAGTAAAATAGGGCAATAGTCTTTGTTCTCAAAAATATCATCCTCCCCAAAAGAAATGACTTAGAAGATACTTGAGCAAGCAAGCGTCCACAGGTGTGGGATGAAGAATTTAAGGGAATACTTATGTTCACATATGAAGAGTGAAGTCATATTATTTTAGTAAGTTAAAAAATAGTATGTAAAAACTATTCTGATAAGTTTTAGCATTTCTGCAGCCCATACAAGACCAATCCTAAAGATATTAAAGAGTGATTATAAGGTCAAAGAAATATTTGTAATAATGAGGAGTTTTGAATTTTAAAAAGTTCATCAGTCATAATTTAATTAAGAAAGTATTTCAAATTGACCTCACTGAAATTATTAAAAAAGAAAAATGTTTCTCCATCACCGAATAAAGAGATAGAAAACACTGGCACCAAAAAGAAAGTACACAGACAGCATAAAGGACCAGCTGTTAAAAAATCACCAAAGTCGGGCTGGAGAGATGGCTCAGAAGTTAAGAGAACTGACTGCTGTTCCGGAGGTCCCGAGTTCAATTCCCAGCAACCACATGGTGGCTCTCACCCAGCTGTAATGAGATTTGGTGCTCAGAACACTATATACATAATAAATAAATTTAAAATTTAAAAAAAAAATCACCAAATTCTTTGCAGATATGCTGAACGATAAGGGACTCTACATGTCTTCATAATGTAGAAGACTTCCATAGTTGTGGACTACACATTTAACCACATTTAATCGCGCAAGCGAATCTAGGTAGCCTGCTCAAACAAACAAAAGGTATTCTGAAGGAAAAGCCCTGCTAGACTCATAGTCAGCTTCGGATCCACACCTCACCTCACCTCACCATCCCATTATACTTAAACCTTCATGGTATAACATGTTCTGTGGGGACAGAAACAATCAGCCAACTTGTGGATCTCCACCCAGATTGGAAACATGCAGAAACATAAATGTAGAAGGCATTTTTTTGGGGGGAGGGGAGGATATGTGACTGTGTGCTTGTGTTTTCTTCCCGCACCGACAATGTTTTATTATATGCACTAGACTAGCTTCAAACCCATAACATCCCCCCTGCCTTGGCTTACCTAGTGCTGGGATTACCACTAGAGTCACCCTTCCTTACCTATACAATGAAGGGGCTGACACAAATGCTTCTACACAAAGTTATTTGCAAGGCATTCTCTAGGGGAGTGCAGGGATTTGAACATGCAATTATGAGGAAGGGGAGTCTCACAGGCCAGGACAGAAAGTGAGGTGAGGCTGCTGCCTTAGTTCCTAGATGGCCCAGCCATTGTTATGTCATTTTAATCTGATTCACTTTTCGTGCATAATACTTTGCATTTCTCAAGTCTGGTGATATCCTCCAGTCTCTTAACCAATTAGATCATCTAGATGAATAATGAAGTGGGAAGCTTAAGAAAACAAAACAAAAACCCAAAAAGAACTCTACATGGTGACTGAAAAAGGAATTTTGAACTGACATTAGTTCCTGGGTAAACCAAATTGAAACAAAAAGCCAAGAAAACTAGGAATTTAGTGATGCAACCATTCTGTAAGAGGGCTGTTAAACTGTCAGTCTTCTGAGCTTCTGTCAGGGCATTCAGTTATGGAAGGACCACATCCCTGGTTTCTATATTCAGTTTCTAGCAGAGAACTTCAAAAATCCTTGAAATCTGCTTGAGCTTTGAAGTGTCTTTCTTCTGGCTGAGGAGCATCTTAATAACTTCAGGATGGAGACTGGTCAACAGAATGGTCATGTCACAATTAGGTTGGGACGTTCAGCCCCACTATGCCGAAGCTTCTGAGGAAAAGAAGAGAGTTGGGGATTGAGTTTAATCTCTAATGATCTATGACTTAATGAACCATGCTTATGTAACAAGACTTAAGAATTAACACTCAAAGGGGTGGTATACTCCACCTCCACGGGGATGGACAGGGAAGCCCCTAAGCCTCATCCTCTGGACCTGTGTCCTTTATCATACGTAGAATGGCTAGCATTTTCCTGAATTCTGTGAGTCATCCCACCAAATCGGCTAAGCAGGGCTCACATGGGCTCACAGAGACTGAGGCAGCAAGCATGAGGGCCCGCACAGGTCTGCACAGTCCTCTGCACGTATGCTATGACTGTGAGCCTCCTAATGGTGGGAACGGGCACGTCTGACTCTGGCCTACTCGCGGGACGCTTTTCCTACTACTGGGTTATCTTGTCTTATTGTATCCTGCTTTGTCTTGTTGGCTGTTGTCTCTTGGAGGCCTGCTCTTTTCTGAAGAGGTAATGGAGGGGGAGTAAATATGAAGGAGAGGGAGGTGAGGGGGGAGCTGGGAGGAGTGAAGAAAGGAGAAATCTGTGATCAGGATATGAAGAAAATAATCCAAAAATTGAAACAACCTGTAGAAAGGACCATAAAACTCTTCAGCTCTGGAGTCACATTTGATGCAGTACAGAGCAGTCTGGGTCCTGTAACCTAAAGTTCAGCTATCCTTGAAGACACACCTTTGGCCTGTAGAGCCTAGTTTCAGGTATTTTCAGAACTAAACCAAATTAGAGGATACTGATTTGGTGTTGGACAACTACAGAAAAAAAAAAAAGCTACTTGAAAAGACTTCATTTGGTGTCAGCAGTAAAAATCTTTACTCAAAGGGATTAATAAAACTCTAAATTAGAGGGAGGAAGTGTTATATGCCTGTAGTCTCAACTAAAGTGGAAGATTAAGGAGGAGGCTGGCCTAAGCCAAGGGTTCAATATTTGTTTGAACAACATAATGAAGCTCTTTCAAACATAAAATAAAAGTCAGCATGGTGGCACATACTTATGAACTCAGTACCTAGGAGGCTGAGGCTGGAGGACCATCTCAAGAGCAAGGTCAGTCTGAGCTACACAGTGAGTTCAAGTTATGCCCTGGTGCATAGTAATATCCTATTTCGGGAGTGGGAAGTAGAGCCAGGTATGGTGACTAAGTCCTAGCACTTCAAAGCAGGTGGATCTGAGTTCAAGGCAAGCTGGACTACAGAGTGAGTTGCAGGACAGCCAGGGCTACATGGAGAAACCCTGTCTCGAAACACCCCTACCCCAAAATAAATAAACAGTAATATCAATAATCTGTATAAAAGTCCTAAAAGTTGACATTCATAGCAAATAAATGTACTGATAGCAAGCCTCCCTTGTTATTAAAGCATTAGTCAGTAGAACAAATATTATTAACATCAATAAAATGGAAAATATCTGCAATATAATATAACAAATTATACCTTATTTGTTTAAGAAGTTACGTTTTTGTATCTATTGTCTTAACCTATACAGTTTTTAGGAAAGAACAAAAAAATGATCAGATTTATTTCAGTTAGAAGCAATTTTAGAGATCGTGTAATTTACATCTTACATCTGATCTTAGGGGTTTATTCTGTAGTCAATTCTGTACTCAGGAGGTTGAGGCAAGAATATCATGAGTTCAAGACTAACCTGTTAAAGGGCAACTAAGTAAGACTGTCTCAAATTGTACAAAAGGAAAAGGGCTGGGGGTGTAGCTTTGTACTTGCCTAGCCAACACCCTGAGTTTAATTTCCATCATCCACTACTAGAAAAAAGAACATTCAGTACTGTTTTACAGTGTTGTCATCAGAGGGTCCTGTGAAATACAAGGACCCAATTGCCTCTGCAACATTCAAATGAGTCTTCTGGTAACTTAGGTCAATTATAAATTGATGGAGTTACTTTATAATAGCAAAGTAACCATTACTTACAAAATGTCAATGTATTCTTCATAACTCTAAGAAGCAAGTACTTCTCCCCCAATTTGCAGCTACAGTTGGACTTCTTTGCTGGTTATGCTTACTTTTACTTAGAAAATCCAAACCAGAGCAGTGTAAACAGTAATAAGTCTTCACAGAAGAAACTAAGAGAAAGAGCAGTTCAGGATTAGTTTTTTTACTCAACTCTTTCTTCAACCATGTTATCATTACTTCCACCATTCACGAGTGTAGCAAATGCTACTCCTCTCACAATCCTGGAACACAGTGCAATAAAATTATATACTATAACCAAAAACAATATTCCTACTAACAAATGGCAATTGTAAATGCAACTCTAAGTCATGGGTGGATGAAATCATAATAGAAATCAGAATATTCGATCCAAACTGATGTCCTGGCAGGTATTATAAACTAAAGAGACACTTGTGCTTCTCCCAGTGACTATCAGATTGTTGACATAATGGACCCAACAAAACTGAAATTTCTCAAGCTGGAAAAAAGGAAATACTTGGCAACCTGTTGTCAAAACAGGAAGCAGAGCTTGTCTGCTGGAAAGAGATTTCCACACAGCTTTGTTAACTGTCAGACCACTTAGCTGGAGAACTCATACTTGATCAGGACTGCCTACTTGCACATACCTTTCTCTCATTCAAACATAAATCTCATGTACTGAAGATAAATTGGCCCTCTTTGTTGCTCTTCCCAATGAGGACATATTGAATAAATCTCCTTTCTCTTTTTTCCACCATTTGTCTGTCTAACGGGGACTTTTGAGAATGAGTGGCCACTCCTAGATTGTTAGGGATGTCAAGGCCTAGGCTCTGACCCTAACAACTCTGGTTGCAATAAATTATAACATAATCACAACTTAAATATGTGTAAGCTGTCCTGTACAATAAAGAACTCCTGGAGACATCACAATCCCTGACTTCAAACTCTACTACAGAGCTATACAGTACTGAAAACAGCCTGGTATTGGCATAAGAACAGACAGGAGGACCAAAGGAACTGAATAGAAGACCCGGATATTAATCCACACATCTTCGAACACCTGATTTTTCACAAAGAATCAAAAAATATCAAATGGGAAAAAAGAAAGCATATTTAACAAATGGTGCTGGCATAACTGGACATCAACATGTAGAAGAGTGAAAATAGATCCATTATCTATCATCATGCACAAAACTCAAGTCCAAATGGATCAAAGACCTCAACATAAAGCCAGCCACACTGAACCTCATAGAAGAGAAAGTGGAAGTACACTTGAACGCATTGGCACAGGGAACCACTTCCTAAATATAACCCCAGCAGCACAGACACTGAGAAAAACAATTAATAAATGGGACCTTCTGAAACTGAAAAGCTGTAAAGCAAAGGACACCATCAACAAGACAAAACGACAGTCTACAGAATAGGAAGAGATTTTCACTAACCCCACATCAGACAGCAGTCTGATCTCCAAAATATAAAAAGAACTCAAGAAATTGGTCATCAAAAGAACAAATATGGAGTACAGACCTAAACAGAGAACTCTCAACAGAGGAATCTAAAATGGCTGAAAGACACTTAAGGAAATATTCAACATCCTTAGTCATCAGAGAAATGCAAATCAAAACAACTCTGAGATTTCATCTTACACCTGTAAGAATGGTCAAAATCAAGAACACTGAACTTATGCTGGAGCGGATGTAGAGAAAAGGGAACACTTCTGCATTGCTGGTGGGAGTGCAAGCTGGTACAACCCCTTTGGATGTCAGTGTGGCGATTTCTCAGAAAATTATGAAACAACCTTGGTGTGGGAGAATTATCGGTATTCTGTCAATCATATTTTAATAAAACACTGATTGGCCAGGCAGGCAGTATAGGCGGGAAAGCTAGACAGGAAGAAGAGGTGGAACAAAGAGACTGGGAGTATTCTGGGAAGCAGGAAGCTCCCTCCCCAGTTCTGCCCAGACCACCGGAGAGGAAAGATGTAAGCTGCCCCACTGGAAAAGGTACTGAGCCATGTAGCTAATGTAGATAAGGATAATGGGGTAACATAAGTTATAAGAGCTAATAAGTAGCCTGACCTAATGGGTCAATCAGCTTTATAACTTATAGAGATCTTTGTGTGGTTGATTTTTCTCTGAGGTTTGCCGGCTGTGGGGTACTGGGCGGGACAGATACCCCAACAAGCCGGCCTTCATGTTACACAACCTTCCTCAAGACCCAGTAATACCACTTTTGGGTATATATCCAAAGGATGCGCAATCGTGCCACAAAGATATGTGCTCAACTATGTTCATAGCAGCTTTGTTTGTCATAGTCAGAACCTGGAAACAACCTAAATGCCCCTCAACTATAGAAGGGATAAGGAAAATGTGGTACATTTATACAATGGAGTACTACACAACAGAAAAAAATAACATCTTAAAATTTGTAGGCGAATGGATGGAGCTAGAAAACATTATTTTGAGTGAGGTAACCCAGACCCAGAAAGACAATTATCACATGTACTTATTCATAAGTGTTTTATAAACATAAAGCAAAGAAAACCAGCCTACAAACCACAATCCCAGAGAACGTAGACAACAAAGAGGACACTGAGAGAGACATACATGGATCTAATCTACATGGGAAATAGAAAAAGACAAGATCTGAGTAAATTGAGAGTATGGAGACTTTGGGAGAGGGTTGAAGGGGGAGGGGAGAGGCAAGTGGGGGAGTAGAGAAGACTGTAGAGCTCAATAAAAATCAATAAAATTTAAAAAATATATTTGTAAGTTGAAGATCAAGCAATCTTTAGAGAGAAATGCATATGTATGTTTATACCGTCATGTCTGCTAATTTTTAAAATTAATTTTTAATTTTAGTTTATGAACACGTGCATGTATGCAAGAGGCCATAAGTGGCATACCCCCTGGAACTAGAGTTATATGCAGCTGTGAGCTGACTTGGTGCTAGGATCCAAACTCAGGTCCTCTGAAAGAGCAGCAAGCACTCTAACCACTGAGCGACCTCACCAGATCCATACTTAAAAAACAAACACCCCAAAGTTTTTTCAACAAAATATGAACAAAACATAAATTTCCTCTGTGTTGCCTCTTTCTTGGGGAGGGCAGGAGTATGAGATATGAAATATGGTATCATGTAGCCAAAGTTAACCTTGAATTTCTGATTCTCCTGCTTCCATCTTTTAGAATGTTATTACAAACTGAGCCACCTAGACCAGCCCCCCCCTTTTTTGAGAAAAGTTGAGTAAGAAGAAATTTATACCCTATAGAATTGAGGTGTACGAAAACACAAAATGCAAAGACACCCACAATAATCTATGCACTAACTAGTTACCTCACTTCACTTTGACTGTTAATAGCCATACTGACTGCACCTGCTGCTGTGATAAAACACCCAGAGGAAAGCAATTTAGGGAAGAAGGATTTTTTGGATCGGGCTGAAGGTAATCGATCTATCATAGTGGGGAAAGGCCTGGTGGCGAAACTGAAGGCAGCTGATCACAGCATCCACTGCCAGGGAGCAGAAGCAGAAGCGTGAGGAGTGCTCATTTCCTCCTCTTCACAAATTCCAGGATCCAAACCCCAGGGAGAGGTGCTGCCCAGTCAACAAACCTAATCAAGGTAATTAATACCCTCACAGGTATGCCCAGAAAATAACCAAAACTTGTCTCCTAGGTGACTCAAGAACCCATCAAACTTGATTAAAGGCATGCACCACTGTGCAGCTAAATCCTTTTTTATAAGATGCCTTCATCATTGTGTTTATCCATGGCATTAGAAAAGTAATTAATAGGCAGTGGTGGCACACACGTTTAATCCTAGCACTTGGAAGGCAGAGGCAGGTGGATGATCTCTATGAGTTAGAGGTCAGTCTGGTCTACAAAGCCAGTTCCAAGACAGTCAGAACTATTACACAGAACTGTTACCCCAATCCCCGCAAAAAAAAAAAAAAAAAAAAAAAAAAAAAAGTAATTAAGATACTTGTTCAAGCATTTCTGTTCTATTTCAAAGCACTCCTACCATCTTCACAGTATCTTTGCCTCTAATGTCCACTTTCACAAGCTATCATATTTACTGTAGTATTCGCATAGTACGCAACAACTTTTTAATAGGTATGAACTCTCCTCGGTCATGGCCTTTCCTGTCATTACTAAAGAGAAGAGATAACTTTCTACCAGATTGACTAAAAAAACACCCTCAGGCACTGCTAATAAAACCCCTCTGGATTTTTAAAATAGATTTGACAATTGTCTGTTAATTTCACATAAAATGTTAAGCCAGTTTTGGGGACCTAGAAGAGAACACTTGATGTACACAGATACCAAGAATCAATCTACAGCTACAGGAACTAAGACAATGTGATACTGGCAAAGGCATACATGACAGAGAAGACAAAACTAAGCTATGAGAGCTAAGTGTACAGCAGATGGATGGCTCAGTGGTTAAGAGCACTGGCTGCTCTTGAGGACAACCTGGGTTTGGTTCTCAGCATCCATATGGCAGTTCCACGGAATCTGATGCCCTCTTCTGGCACTGCATGCAGGTGGTATACATACAAACATGTAGGCAAAATACACACAAAAATTAAAAAAAAAAATCACAAAAGTTCAAAGTACCTAATAAATATTGCTCAACTGTTACTGGAGTCCTAGGCTACAGGTTTGAGTCTGGGGGTCCCAAAAAGTAGGTACAGTTACCTGTCCTAAAGACCAAATTGAAAAAAAAAAAAATTAATAGTGTAAAAACAAAATAAAAAAAAAATAAAGAAAGTGAATTTCGTTATGGTCAAACTTTAGAGACAAAGAGAGTGTGTTCTTAGTGTCCTTTTTTAAAAATGCCATAAACTTCTGATCGGCCTGCCCCATCCCCCCAAGTAGTTCAAATCCCAAATCAAAAGACTGCATTAACCCAATGGCGAGAAGCCGGACGAGTTCGAGTCCGGCATCTCTCAGGCACTGCTCGAGCTCAACATCACCGCGGCCAAGGAAACTGAAGCTGGTGGTGGCCGGAAAGCCATCATAATTTTTGTGCCAGTTCCTCGGCTGAAATCCTTCCAAAAAATCCAAGTCCAGCTGGTTCGTGAATTGGAGAAAAAGTTTAGCGGGAAACACGTAGTCTTCATTGCTCAGAGGAGGATTCTGCCCAAGCCAACTCGGAAAAGCCGTACAAAAAATAAGCAGAAGCGCCCCAGAAGCCGCATGGTCACCACAGTGCACGACGCCATCCTTGAGGACTTGGTCTTCCCGAGTGAGATTGTGGGCAAGAGGATCCGTGTGAAACTGGACGGCAGCCGGCTCATAAAGGTTCATTGAGACAAAGCACAGTAGAACAACGTGGAGCACAAGGTGGAAACGTTTTCTGGTGTGTATAAGAAGCTCAATATAGAAGGGCAAGGATGTTAATTTTGAATTCCCAGAGTTTCAGTTGTAAAGAAAATGACTGAATAAAGTGGTGTCAGTCTTAAAACAAACAAACAAAAAAAAGACTGCATTAAAAAAAAAAAATCAAACCCAATCCTAGAAAGATGGCTCCGCAGCAGTTAAGATCACTGGCTTCATTTGCAGGGGTCACACAGCAGCTCACAACTATCTGTAACTCTAGACCCAGGAAACTGACCTACATGGCCACCAGGCATACATCCGGTGCACAGACATGCATGGAAACAAACACTCATACACACAGAATAAAATAAATATTAAAGGAGCAGGTAAAGTCATTTGCTGCCAAGCTTGATCTGAGTTAAACCCTCAGGACTTTATAGATAGGAGAGGAACAACTCCTGAAAGAGGAGGTATCTTCTACATGTACAAGTGGCTCACTGCCCACGCCAGCCACACACACACCAGTAAAATAAAGGTTATAACTTTTTCTGAAGGTAGGTAATATGACCAGGCACATGTCTTTAACCCCAGCACTCAGGAGGCAAAAACATGGG